TAATTCCGAAATTGAATCATTCTAACAAAACAAATATGATGAAAAAAAACGTAACAAGCAAACCTGAAACTAAACTAAACAAATGTTTCCATTGTGCACATCTCTAGTTCAAGCTGCTTTGACTTTTACTATGAATGGGCGCAAAAGCATTTCTGATGCAGACAAAAAAAACCCTCTTATTAGTTCATTATTTGTTGAGAGAGGTCATGATAAGACACAGAGTCTAGAATATAGAGTGTGATGACTGGCAAAGATGAGGCTTGTTACCGGTGGTCTTCATAGGCAAGACCTCATAGAGCAGAATTTGTTTTTTCCAGAAAAAAAGAGGCAACCTTAGATGTAGGAGGTAACATGTAAAAGGTTCAAAGGACCCTTTTGCCAGTTCAACACCGATGCCAGCAGATGCACAATCTGTGAAATGCAACACAGGGCGAGATTTGGTATAATCAGGGGCTTTTTTTTCAGCAGGAACGTGAGGGAACGCGGTTCCGGTACCTCCAGCACAGAATATATGTAATGCAAAGGGGGCTTGGGGTGTGCTGGAGGGTCTATTGTTGTTGGCTCCTGTGGGATCTATTGTCACTGGGGGGGATTTATTGTTAGAGGAGGTCTATTGTTGCTGGTGGTGGATCTGTTGTTGATGGGGGGGGTCTGCTGTTGATGGCTGCTGGACAATCGATTGCTGGTGGGGTCTGTTGTTTATTGGTAGATTATTATTATACAGGATTTATATAGTCCCAACAGTTTGCTGTATATTATAAAGGGAGACAATACAGTAACAATACGATTCAATACACATAGATCTATTGTTGTTGGGGGTATTTTGCTGTGGGTGGTATATTGTTGCTAGGGGGTCTATTGTTGCTGTGGAATATATTGCTCCTGGGGGGGCTCTATTGTTGCTGCCTGCAGGGAATCTATTTTACTGCTTTTTTTGTTATTATTAACAAAATCTAAATAAATTATTTAGCACCAAAAAATGATACTTGGTTCTGCATTCTCTAAGAGGGGCGGTACTGGGAGGTGGTTGGGGGTGGAACTAAGAGACGGTGATTGGGGGAGGTGAGGGTGCAGAGACCAGTGGTGACATGGAAGCAGAGAGTTCCTGCACCAATTCTCTGTGGGAAAAAGCCCTTACATTAGTAAGGATGAAAAACTGGTTTATATGGGTTACCTTAACAGAACATACCCTGGTACCCCACTACTTGCCACAGCAAACATAATAAATACAAAAAAGAGAATCTAAATAATATCTAAAGCCAAATCTATTTTATAATCATTTTGAATAGGGCTTTGAATAGATACAACTCCTGACATTTTTTTTTTCATCTGTGTCCTTTTTTGGGCAGACACAAAAAGGAACTAAAAGAAAATCTCTCTAAAGTGCAAGTGACCCAATAGAAGATGTCATGTTTCACATGACTGTCATATGTCTAAGTGTTCTTTGTATTTTGTCTCTGCTCCTCCCTTTCCTTTGGTTTAGTTCATGATGTATAGATAGCTCCACCTTTTTTCCCAGTAAGGCATTTCAGCTTCAAGCCTCATGTCATGAATTAGATCACATTATGATCTTTTGACCTATCCGATGTTCATTGTTGTAAGATTCTCTCAGTTTATGGAAGAAATATCACAAAATCTACAAGATGTCTTCTGGATTGAGTCACTGCCTGTAATATTCAACTAAGATTGGAGTTATCGCTATCTCATCACAACTGCAAGTTACAGAGATCACACTTTCAATGCTTAGATTGGAGAGACAGAACAAAAGATTTCCCCCTCCATTCCCATTCTGATAACAACTCAAACTTTTTTATTTTCCCCCACTTTCAGTCCTGGTGGCAATGGTCCTAGTACAAACAGGGTGATTCTACTTAGTGGTGACAAAGACAGCAATAAAAAAAACTTAATAGGGGGTGTAATCCTTTACTTCTTCCTCCAAACCAAGAAAATATGTTTTAATTATTTGTAGCCAGGTGTAGGGCTACAGCAATATGCAGATAGAGAGAGACAATACCTTTTATTTGTCTCTCTCTCTACTGAGAAAACTGATATTATGGGGTTTATTTACTAAAGCTGGAGAGTCCAAAATCAGACTCCCTTCTGCATAGAAACCAATCAGCTTCCAGGTTTCATTGCCAAAGCTTCATTGAACAAGCTGAGGTTAGAAGCTGATTGGTTTCTATGCAGAAGGGAGTCTGATTTTGGACTCTCCAGGTTTAGTAAATAAACCCCTATGAGTCACCATTTTCCTTCCGCTAGCAGTTAGAGAGCTAAAGCAAAGCAAACCCATAGACTTCTATGCAGAGTGCTAAGAATCCTGGGAGTTGTAGTTTGAGAAGGCAGCCATATAATAGGATGAATGAACTCCTTACACTACAGATCCCAACAGGAGCTGTGCAGTGGAGAGAGGATTTTAATTAAACTGCCCAGGAAAGTTCTTCCTCTTAACCCCTTAAGGAAACAGAGAGTACCTCTGGATATTCACCTGCCAGTGGGAGAACATACCAGCAGAGCCAAGCCTGAGATTGGGAGCAAACAACCACACACATCACATCACCTGCACTGCTGCCGCAGGGAGACTGGAGCATACACTTACCCTGTGCCTCCCACCGCTGATCATAGGTGGCTTTTTGGGGAGAAACTGAGGGGGCAACCCCTTCTACAGAGAGAGGTCACTGCAGCATCCAGGGGACAGGTAAGAGGGCTACTTATTCATTGCTGATACTGCTATCAAGGACTGAGACACCAGTGCACCAACGCTTCTAAACAGCCCCAGCGATAGCCATCAGAATAACATCTCAAAGGACTGCCCCTCCCAAAATAATTATTCCACAAGTTTCTCATTATTCCACTGAAGAACGTGCATGAGAAACCTCCAGAAACCTGTTGTCACAAGTTAGCCTGCAGCCTCTTGTGTGTTTATTCTTACCTCTTTGCTGCTCTTGATTCCTTCACATGTGTGTTTGTCTGTGCTCACCTGTGGGCGTCATCTGCTATCCTCTGGGTTTTATGTCCTTCCCTTCTATCACTTCCTGGCCCGCCTCCTAGCTGGCTTGTCTATTTAAGACATGCTCAGTCTGTCCCACTTTGCCTGAGCAACGTCTTGTAGTTGGAGCTCCCTTGTGTTACTACTGTGAATCCTATATAGTCTGTGTACTGTTCCCGGCTTTGTTCCTGACCCTGCTTGTTTTCCGCCTGTCCTGACCTCGGCTTGCCTACTGGATTCCCTGTGGCTTCTCCCGTTGTACCCTGCTCCCGCTAGCGGTCTCCTCTACCTCAGCTGGGTGTACCTGGGGGCCGCGACCTGGTCCCAGCCTGCTGCAAGTCCATCCCCACCATCAGGGGCCCTGCTGAACAAGCAGGCTGGGGCTTGTGGAGCAAGAGCTCACTACCACAGCTACTGACACCTGTGAGGGGAGTCCCCAAGGTTTTTACTGCCTAGGGGCTATATTGTGAGGGTCTGAACATTGCCATAGTACAACACATGCCTGGGCAGCATCAAGCAAGCGAACAAGTAGGGATTATTTATACATTTTTCTGGGGAAGGTGTTGTGAGGGAGAAAGACGTAAGCTGCTTGGGGATGATACTTTTTGTGAACTTTTAGCTAATGCTAAGCACTGTGGTCCATAAAGGCTATATCTTTGAACACCCCCGAATATGTGCAAAAAGGTGCCTTTATCTTCCATACATTGCCAGTGGGTAGCTGTGATGGAAGGGTAGAATGTCTGGATAATGATGGGAACCCTAATCCAATGTGTAAGCACTTTGTGACGTGTTTTATGGTAAGTATTTCTGATGCAACCAACATTTTGAAATGTTCCTCAGCATTTCTAATGTTTCCTACAACATAGAAAATCTTCACTTTTTGAGTTCAGGTCCACTTCAATGCCTAAGTATGGATCATGAAGAATATTGCAAATGATAACATTACCAAACATGGACTTGTTCCCATCTGTCTCAGTTACCTTTGTATCTCTGTGTTTAGTTCATTGGGCACCGGCATCTGCCGGACTGCCACCCTTGTCTCCAATGTCCTGATGTCCCACCCTATGCATCGAATTCCCTTCCAAGATGCTAAGCCAGTGAAAGTCTGAGGCCATCTGCAGCAAACCCGCCACAGTCAGATTTTGTCTCTAAAGTTTGGACGTTTGTCAGTCTGTCTGACCTCCTTGGCACTGTTACATCTCACTGCCACCTCAGTTTTGCACAATGTGAGACCAAACAAAAACCTGATTCCATTGCACCACAGTTATGATCAAATGCTTGTTTTATAGTTATTAGAGAATGCCAGGTGCTGGGCTGCAGCAATATAGAAAAGGAAACCTCTCCTTTTACTCTTCTCTTTGTCTACTGAGATACTGAAAGCAGTAGTAAACTCTTGCATAAAAAAAACAACAAAAAAAAAAACTCTCTGCAAGTTAAGGTTATGCATTGCATACTAGCACACTATGAAAAATGGACCTTAATACTAAACCCTCCAGCGACACACTGTCACTGCTGATAGGACTTCCATCCTCACCTGGTCTTCCTTCCGGATTTGCAGGCTCTGGCATTTTGAATGGCCGAGCCATGATGACATTGCTCCTAGGCACGAGCACATGAGTCTTGCTTGCGGCACAGAGCTCTGAAGGGATGGCATGAGAATGCCGTCTCTTCAGAGTGCATGCGCCAGTGACAACACTGACCTCTGACATCAACAAGGAATTGTCTTCCACACAACTGCCACTCACTGGATATTTGCTCTTTTTTGGACCATTCTCTGTAAACCCTAAAGATGGTTGTGTGTGAAAATGCCACTAGATCAGCAGTCTTTTCAAATACTCAGACCAGCCCGTTTGCACCAACAACCATGCCATATGCGGAGTTCCAGTAAAAATAACAAAGTCAGCAGCTACAAAAATTGACTTAACCAAAAAACAGACACTAACCTGTCCCTCGATCCCTCTGCGTCCCCCCACCCGCAGCCTTTTTCATCAGCTGCCCTGTGTTCCTAATGCTGGCATCTTCAGTGTGGGCACCCGGCTGTGACAGCTTGCAACTTCACAGCCAGGTGCTCATTGCACAGGGGGGCGGACTGACAACTCATGGGGCCCCCGGGCAATAGGGGATCATGGGGCCCCTGTGTCCTTGCCCAAACTCAAAAAAGCCTATGAAAAAGGTACCAGGGGCATCTCTTGGGGCCCTCTACTGACCCTCAGGCAGTGCCCGAGTTTCCAAATGGTCAGTCCGCCCCTGTCACTGCACATGCGCAAGTTACGCTGCGCTTTGTGAATGGCCCAGAAGACTACGGAGGGGAGGACAACGTCTGCTTCCGATCGCCTAGGCGATTGCCACAGAAGTGGGAACCTGTCAAATTCAATGTCAGTACACCCCCCCTCCCCCCATTCCCCAAAGGTCTCAATCCTTAACCAGTCCTTAAAGCGGTAGGAACTTCCCCTTTTGGGTGGAGCTGCGCTTTAAAATCCCTTTCTTTCCCATTCTGATGCTCAGTTTGAACTGCAGCAAGTTGTCTTCACCATGTCTACATGCCTAAATGCATTGAGTTGCTGCCAGGTGATTGGCAATTAGTGTTCCCAAGCAATTTATTTATTATTTATTTATTTCAGGTGCTTATATAGCACCGTCAATTTTACGCAGCGCTTTACATATATATTGTACATTCACATCAGTCCCTAACCCTCAAGGGGCGTACAATCTAAGGTCCCTAACTTACATTCATACATACACATACTAGGGCCAATTTAGACAGGAGCCAATTCCCCTACCAGCATGTCTTTGGAGTGTGAGAGGAAACCGGAGTACCCGGAGGAAACCCATGCAGGCACAGGGAGAACATGCAAACTCCAGGCAGGTGGTGCCGTGGTGGGGATTCGAACCAATGACCCTACTGCCAGGCAGAAGTGCTAACCATTTAGCCACTGTGCTGCCCAACAATTGAACCGGTGTACCTAATAAAGTGGCGGGTGAGTGTACATACACACATATGTAGTATCTTTTCATGTGACAACTCTGAAGAAATGACACTTTGCTACAATGTGACGTAGTGAGTGTACAGCTTGTATAACATGTAAATTTGCTGTCCCCTCAAAATAACTCAACACACAGCCATTAATGTCTAAACCGCTGGCAACAAAAGTGAGTACACCCCTAAGTGACAAGGTCCAAATTGGGCCCAATTAGCCATTTTCCCTCCCCGGTGTCATGTGACTCATTAATGTTACAAGGTCTCAGGTGTGAATGGGGAGCAGGTGTGTTAAATTTGAAACATGAAAACAGAATTGTTGCTCTACATAAAGATGGCCTAGGCTACAAGAAGATTGCCAAGACCCTGAAACTGAGCTGCATCATGGTGGCCAAGATCATACAGCAGTATAACCCCTTGCCTACCGGGCACTTATACCCCCTTCCTTACCAGGCCAATTTTCAGCTTTCAGCACTGTCACACTTTGAATAACAATTGCGCAGTCATGCAACATTGTACTCATATGAAATTTTTATAATTTTTTTCTCACAAATAGAGCTTTCTTTTGGTGGTATTTACCGCTTGGTGTGTTTTTTTGCGCTATAAACAAAAAAGAGCAAACAATTTGAAAAAAAAAAATTATTTCTTTGTTTTTATTATAAAATTTTGCAAACAGGTAATTTTTCTCCTTCACTGATGTGCGTTGATGAGGCTGCACTGATAAGCAGCACTGATGGGCGCTGATAGGCAACACTGATGGGCGCTGATAGGCAACACTGATGGGCACTGAGGTTGCACTGATGATGGGCACTGATGATGGGTACTGATAGGCGGCACTGATAGGCGGCACTGACTGGTGGCACTGCTGGGCTGCACTGATGGGCACTGGTGGGTGACACTGCTGGGCACTTGTGGGCTGCACTGCTGGGCGTTTTTGGGTGGAACTGGTGGGTGGCGCTGATGGGCACCAATCATCAGTGCCCTGATGATCGGTGCCAATCCCTGCTCTGACAACTGCCGCTTCTCGGCAGTACTTTCCTCACGCCCTGACAGCGAGAGGAAATTGCATTTCCCGGTGATCAGCGTATCATTGGACACGACTGATCACGTGGTAAAAGGCTGCTGTGATTGGCCTTTTACCACATCACATGATCAGCTGTGTCCATAGGACACAGCAATCGCGGAGATCGCTGCCCGGGTGCACGCCCCCCTGGGGTGCACACTAGAGTGCGTTCTGGGAGGACTTGATATGATGGCCTCTCAGAACTGGCTGGCCACAGTGCAGCCGTCATTCGGCTGCCTGCGGTTGGCAACTGGTTAACAGGACAGGTTCCACTCAGAACAGGCCTCGCCATGGTCGACCAAAGACATTGAGTGCACATGCTCAGCGTCATATCCAGAGCTTGTCTTTGGGAAATAGATGTATGAGTGCTGCCAGCATTGCTGCAGAGGTTGAAGGGGTGGAGGTCAGCCTGTCAGTGCTCAGACCATACGCCGCACACTGCATCAAATTGGTCTGCATGGCTGTCGTCCCAGAAGGAAGCCTCTTCTAAAGATGATGCACAAGAAAGCCCTCAAACAGTTTGCTGAAGACAAGCAGACTAAGGACATGGATTACTGGAACCATGTCCTGTGGTCTGATGACACCAAGATCAACTTATTTGGTTCAGATGGTGTCAAGCGTGTGTGGTGGCAACCAGGTGAGGAGTACAAAGACAAGTGCGTCTTGCCTACAGTCAAGCATGGTGGTGGGAGTGTCATGGTTTGGGGCTGCATGAGTGCTGCCCTGGGGCGCCACAGTTTATTGAGGGAACCTTGAATGCCAACATGTACTGTGACATACTGAAGCAGAGCATGATCCCCTCCCTTTGGAGACTGGGCCACAGGGCAGTATTCCAACATGATAACGACCCCAAACACACCTCCAAGATGACCACTGCCTTGCTAAAGAAGCTGAGGGTAAAGGTGATGGACTGGCCAAGCATGTCTCCAGACCTAAACCCTATTGAGCATCTGTGGGGCATCCTCAAACGGAAGGTGGAGGAGCACAAGGTCTCTAACATCCACCAGCTTCATGATGTTGTCATGGAGGAGTGGAAGAGGACTCTAGTTGAACCTGTGTAGCTCTGGTGATCTCCGTGCCCAAGAGGGTTAAGGCAGTGCTGGAAAATAATGGTGGCCACACAAAATATTGACACTTTGGGCCCAATTTGGACACTCTCACTTAGGGGTGTACTCACTTTTGTTGCCAGCGGTTTAGACATTAATGGCTGTGTGTTGAGTTATTTTAAGGGGACAGCACATTTTCACTGTTATACAAGCTGTACACTGACTACGTCACATTGTAGCAAAGTGTCATTTCTTCAGTGTTGTCACATGAAAAGATATAATAAAATATGTACAAAAATGTGAGGGGTGTACTCACTTCTGGGAGATACTGTGTGTGTGTGTATATATATATATATATATGTATATATATATATATACATATATATATATATATACACTTTTCATAATTTATAAAAAAAATAAACCAAAGTTTTTTTCATTATTTGCATCCTAATATTTGAACAATTCTGTACAAAGTTTCCCAGGCACTTGATCCTGCTAATCAGTGCAAAAAAAAAAAAAAAAAATACTTAACTCAACTGTTTCAACTTGACAGGTGTTTTAACTCTAACACACTCCATTCAAACAAGAAAAAAAAGTTTTGTATGCACTTTAAAGAGGATGGGGCTACCTCTACAGTGAGAGCAGTGAGAGTGAGACTACATAGTAAAGATGTATTGCAGCTGAAGTGTCAGAGAGAGCAGCCCAGCAGCATATATCCATGCATGTAATAATATTTTGGGTGGAGTGACCTTTTAGTTTTTTGAAAGCCAATTACCCCATATAGAAAAATATATTGTAGATGTACATTTTTTCCTGAGACTAAGTTGAGAAATGATGGCAAAGGATGCTCTTTATTACCCCCCACCACCACCTTTGTTTCATCACATTCTACGTGCTGTTGTAGAATATACAATATTATTTTTTGGCACACAAATGTTCCTTTAATAAATGTTTTGGCACAGACTGGGAGGAATATTGCAGCTAATTATGTCGCCATCCAGTTACTTGTGTCCTCCTTTCTCAACTACTTCTATAGATGTGTATTTATTTTAATACAAGGACAAGTGGCACCTTTGTTCCAGCTGAGTGGGAGCCTGTTTTGCCATTCTCTGATGCAGACAGAAATTCCGTCCAAGGTGGGTGCTGTGCCAGGGGGCATCTGTGGCCATCAGTGATGACAGGCAGTGAAATCCAATCAAGGAAAAACGCCTGTCTGTATCACTTGGATGTCTGTCAGTCCGTCTGACCTTGGTGACACCATCACAATTTTTTCCGTCACCCCAGTTTGGGACAGTGCCACAGTGAAAGGCTAACAGGAACCTCAGTTTTCCGCTACAATTCAAATACAGGCTGGTGGGTTAAATGGCTTCTTCTATTTTTGCCGGTAGAGGGTTTATGAATATCTAAGGGAAGTTAAAGGTGAACTCCAGGTAACTCTATCATTATTATATAACTATATGTATTTTTTTTTTTTTAAAGCAAGCATTGTAAGTGCCTGACTTTAACCTGATCAGCCTCTTGCAGTCTTTGTACTGAAATGTGAGAGGAAGGAGCATCATAAGGAGTCAATCAGCTGACAAGAAGTATGCTGATAGGAGGATAGGAAGAAGAGTGACAGAGAGATGAGCTCATCATTGTGCTACTTCTCCTTTCAATGTCCATTCATATGTTGGGGAGGGTCCAGGATGGCCTGGGCTCACAGGAAGGACTAAGGACATCTAGTGGCAGAATAAAGTACTGCAGGAGGAAATCTATGGACTGAAGCTGAATGTTGCAGCAAAGGTTGATTTTGTTATTTTATCTTTTAATGAGCTATAAGTTTTTATTATATTATTTTGGTCTGATTTCTCATTAAACACTACTACTTGAGCACCAGTCAGGTGTTTTTGCCTAAGCTGAGATGATGTCTTAGATTGTAAGCTCCAAGGAGCAGGGCCCTCCTATACCTCTTGTATTGAACTGTATTGTTGCTGGATTGTCTCCCATTATATTGTAAAGTGCTGAGCAAACTGTTGGCGCTATATAAATCCTGTATAATATTATTAATGTCATCAGCCTGCTGCAGCCAGGAGGAAGAATGTCCTTAGTCTCCTCTCCACCTAGGGGTTACCACCTCATCCCTTTAACCTCCCCGGCAGTATTCCCGAGTGTAGCTCGGGGTAAAGTTTCAGTACCACAAGCGGTAACCCCGAGCTACACTCGGGCTTACCATGCGGCTCTGCTCCGCAATCCCTCGATCACTTAACTTGTCCTGCGCTCCCGCGATAAAATCACATAGTAAAACATTATTGTATCAAACCATTTCACATACATTTTGTCCCGAGTGCTTTGTCCTGTTCCCTGCCTGCATTTTTACTGTTCTTTCTGCCTGGAAACTGAAAAATGTCCATGGCGTCCAAAAAGCGTCCCTTTAGGTCAAAATCGGTTTTAGACCAGCTAGAGAACAGCGATAGTAAATCAGAACCACTTGCAGAATTGAGTGATAATGATTCGTGGGGAAATTCATCATCAGACACTGAAAACGATTTTGCAACTTTGCTCAGTGATGTGCGAACTTGGCGCTATATTTCAAATTTCAGTGTTTTTGGTTTGATTACATTATTGAATTAAATGTATTATTATTATATTATTATTTTTTATGATTATTTATTAAATTATAATTTATGATTTTGTGTTTCAAGTTTTATCCTAACCGGGATGTTTACTAGACTCTTGTTCGGACCAGGGGTGGACTGACCATTTAGAAACTCAGGCACTGTCCGAGGGCCCGGGGTCAGTAGGGGGCCCCATGAGATGCCCCCGGTACCTTTTTCATAGGCTTTTTTGAGTTTTGGCAAGGACACAGGGACCCATGATCCCCTATTGCCCGGGGGCCCCAAGGGGTCTGATTGGATGCTCATGTTGCATGTGAACCTTCTGGCCATCTTGGGTCAGGCAGAGTCTATTTAGGACTCTGACCCCTAGGTTTGGCGTGCTTTATGCAAGTGGCTAGCGTAGGGACAGATTCCTCTTCTGGCAGGGATAGTGCTGAGCATTAGGGAAAGGTTCTGGGGGAGTAGGAGGAGTGTAGGGACTACTTCTACCTCATCAGGAAGCTTCCCCTTTGGGTTGGATTGGCCAGGTGGCATTCCGCCTATCATGGCAGATGCTATCAACATCCTTGGGTCTTCCGCCCGCTGTCTCTCTGTGAACAGTTGTAAATGCCACTGGATGGTGATTCCTCCCATTTGCACAAGTTGAACGCTTTTACAATACATTGTTTCTGGCTATTGGGACTCTGTGTGTTCATTGCCTGCCAAGCCATGCTGCACCTTCCCAACAGCCTGGCCATGTTTACAGAGTGTAAGACAAGTTCTGCAATTGACAGCCTAGAAAGATGTCAATTACATTAGGAGTCACTGAGGTATCGACCCTCTCTCCAGTGCTGGGTGGGAAGATGTTCCATTTCCGATCTAGCATCACTGTGCACCAAGCCGGCTCCATTAAGACATTGTTTGGTGCACATGATGTGGAGGAATTTGAGAGGTCTGCACAGAGCCTTGACCTCAACCCTACTGAACACCTTCGGGATGAATTGGAATGCCAACTGCAAGTATGGTCTTTTCATCCAGAATCAGTACCTGACCTTGAAATGCTCTTTTGATTAGATGGATACATCTGAAAATCTGGTGGAAAGCCTTCCCAGATGAGTGAAGGCTGCTTTAGGCCACAAAGGTAGGGGCTCCAAACTAATGGCCATGGTTTTGGAATGGGACATCCAACAAGATTATAAAGGTGTGATGGTCAGGTGTCCACAAACTACTGACCATATATAGTGCTTCAGCCACAAGGGGAACTATGTGGATGTCCACTGAGCTTAGTAAAGACAGTGAAGCTGTTGCTACTTCAATTACCCAGTCATGCAAACATTTAAAAAAATATCACTTTTGTTACATTTCATATACATATGATTGGATAACCAAATTGAAAACCTTTATTTCTTTAACCCTTCATGTCGATGGTATGCAAATATGCGGCCCCACTGGACTGGGCTTTTTTTCCGTGGGGCCGCTAATTTGTATACCTGTCTTTGTGTTGGGAGAGTGCCACATGGTCTGCTCCCAGCACAGAGACTGGGATCTCACTGAAAGCTCTGGATCCCGCTCTAACGATCAGGACCCGGAGTTCCAGATTCCGGGTCACCTGATTGCTGTGATAGCCTCTGATTTGCTATCACAGTGATCAGTCACTGTGAAGCCCGCCCCCATGTTTTCTCTCTTTGAATGGAGGAAAGAGAAAAAACACAAGTGTGTGTAAAATAAAGACATACAAATAATAAGAAAATGAAAATAAATAAAAATAAAAATACCTAGATCAAGGTTTGATCTAGGTCAGTGCCAGGGTTAGTGTTTGGGTCAAGGTCAGGGTCAAAGGTCAAGATCAGGGACAAAAGTCAGGGTCAGTATTTTTTTTGGGAGGGGGTCTTGATTTTTTTTTTAAATTAGTATCAGTGTCAGTTAGTGGCAGGATAAAAAAAAGCAAAATGCGCACTATAGCTTCTGGGCCATACTACGGGTACAAACAACAACTAACATACACATATGTGGTATTGCTGCGATCGATAAGAGCCAGAGAAATTATTTTGGGTTCTTTGGTGGTAGGTTATGGTAGTAACAAGAAATATACAGCTAAATTTAAAAAAAATATATTTTTTTTTACTATTTTGGGCCAGTTTTCCTTTGATAAGAAAAAAAAATCAGGAGATATCCATTACCATTTACCACCAAATGAAAGGCCAATTTCTATTATAATCCACCTGGATTCACAAAGTAGTTGTGATGATATGTACGGTTTTGGTAACACATGTCAATGTTGCAAAATTGTCCTTAGGCGTTAAGATTTGTTTTACCCTTAGGCACGAAGGGGGTTAAGTTTAGTGAACATTAATTTCAGCAGCGAACTTTCTTTTTTAGTAAAAGGAAGCACAAAGTTACCTCCAACTCTTAGACTTTCATTGTGAGAAGGAACAGTAAAGCACAACCGCTGTGTAGCTCTGCAAAGCAGGAAGAAGTTCCGGTCAATGTAAGGAGCCAATATGACTGCCCAGCACATACATATAATAAATTATATATATAAAAAGGAGAATCTTTAGGTCCTGTTCACACCTTCTCATTACCGTAACGCACATCAACACGTGTTACCAGGGGCGCACTGACCATTTGGAAATTCTGGACGAAGGAGCAAATGGGGCACAGCAGACAGCAGCATTTTCAGTTTGGGGGGAGGGGAGTGTTAGATGTACTAGCAGATATAGATACACTAAAACATTAAAGCCACACTCCAGCTCAGAGGCGGACTGACCATTTGGAAACGCGTGCACTGCCCGAGGGCCCGGGGTCAGTAGGGGCCCCATGAGATGCCCCTGGTACCTTTTTCATAGGCTTTTTTGAGTTTGGGCAAGGACACAGGGGCCCCATGATCCCCTATTGCCCGGGGGCCCCATGAGTTGTCAGTCCGCCCCTGCATGTTACATATGCTGGTGCAATGCAGTGCCATTAATTCTGCAAATGGATATGCCTTGTCACACGCTGATAGAAAATGGTGCATGCTCATTTTTTGGCAGCACACTGTACTGCATGTTAATGCTGTCCTGCAATGCAGGCCCATCGATATGTGCCTTGGGGTGCCATAGAGAACACATTGAACGTGCGTTTCCACATGTTACTAAAATGGTGTGAACTGGTCCTTAGCAGTATTAAAGCCAAAAGCGTAATATATTTCAGCTTACCAGTCGTTAGATGTGGTGGCTGCATTAGTTTTCTTTTTTTTAGGCTTTTTTCCTCTCTGATTTCACCTGGTGATCTGGCCAGTAACACACCTCCTGTATTAGAGTGACTCAATTCTGGATGAAGGAGCAAATGGGGCACAGCAGACAGCAGCATTGTTAGTTTGGGGGGAGGGGAGTGTTTAGATGTACTAGCAGATTTAGATACACTAAAACATTAAAGCCACACTCCAGCTCAGAGGTGGACTGACCATTTGGAAACTCGGGCACTGCCCAAGGGCCCGGGGTCAGTAGGGGGCCCCATGAGATGCCCCTGGTACCTTTTTCATAGGCTTTTTTGAGTTTGGGCAAGGACACAGGGGCCCCATTATCCCCTATTGCCCGGGGACCCCATGAGTTGTCAGTCCACCCCTGCTCCAGCTAATATTTTATACCCCGCCCTCACCTAACAGCCGATCTCCTCCACTCCTCCTACCACTCCATCCCCCACAGCCATTTCCTCCTGCTCCATTATCCCCTCCCTCCTAGATTGTAAGCTCCAAGAAGCAGGGCCCTCGAACCCCTCGTGTATTGTATTGTTACTGTATTGTCTCATGTTCTGTCCCCCACTATAATGTACAGCGCTGAGCAAACTTTTTGGCGCTATATAAATACTGTATAATAATAATAATAATAAGCAGCAGCAAACAAATTTTTTTATTTTGGGATAAAGTATTTACATGAATAAATAAAAGCTGATCATTGTAAGCCCCCCCCCCTGTCAGTGATACATTTTTTATCTCCATCCTCTACATCTGCAGGACAGCTTGTTCTGTTAGAAAATCAACAGACTTACTAGCAGGATCACCAGGTGAAAAAAAAGGAAAGAAATACTTATAAAAAGGAATACTAATGCAGCCTCCACATCTAAGAATTGGTAAATGTTTGCTTTTGGGGTTAATATGCTTTAAATACCACATACAGTATTATGGATATATTTACATGCACTGTTAAACTCTTTTTACAAATTTATTGAAAAAATATAAAAACGACTATACTTAAAAAAAATATTCAAAGCCTCAAATTGTCTAAAATGTAGCCCAATTACTATAACATGTTTAAAAGGTACTAAGTAAAATGAAATATGAATGTATTAGTGTCTGTGCATTGAATGAATAATAAAAGGCTGGAACCTTGCCAAGCTGGCCTTGGCTTTCTGTCCTTCCCCAGAATAGTCAGTAGATGGCGCTGTGCTCTCCTCTCTATATATAAGGCAGTGCTGTTCCTTGAGCTCAGTGCTGCACAGTGCAGAGAGAGGAGGGAGACAGCTGTGCTCATTCACCAGCAGCTCCTCCACCATGAAGACCATCATAGCTGCCTACTCTGGGGTGCTGAGAGGTAAGAGCCTGTAGCAGGGGCCTCTCATCACCTCCCTAGTCCCTCTGCATGAATCCATGACTTGCACTATGGCATTGCTTTGGCAGTGAACAGGTTAACTCCATTCCTCTTTCAGTTACTAATTAACAATTAAGCCACAGAGCTCAAGCCTTGTAATACTCTACTGATCTGCATTTTTCTTGCATAACCGGTATGCAGGTGGAGGGGGGAAATTCTATAGTCTGACTTTTTTTTTTTGCATGCTGATGTCATAGGATTTGTTAGAGAGAAATTTTAAGCTAGCTGTGGAGCTTCCCATCATCTGCCTCCAGATTGTTCTATGGCATCGTTGCTATTGGTTCAGTCTGTGTTCTGTCACTGGTGTGCAGACTTTTCCATTGGAGAGGGTGCTGGGTGACGTCGAAGGGATTGACTGCATGGAGTGTGTTTTACAGGCCTTTTAAATGCAATTGTTGCTGAACAGTTGCAGGTAAAGGTCTGTGTTGCACTGCATGCACCAGCAAGGCTTGGTGGATAATGCCAGGGACAGCAGAGAACCGATAAAGTGTGGTGACGGGAGACTTGTAGCTTTTTATTAACCTCCCCCCTTTTTTTTTTTTTTTTTTTTTTTTTTTTTTTTAAATAGTCTTTCTGCTTTAATTTGGTTGAATTCAGTCCCTGATGTCTTATGTGCTAACTCTGACCTGCTTTTGTTTAAGGAAGTCTGAGCGAGATCAGAAGTTGGCCATTGCTGATCCCTTATAAGAATGCTAGTTGCTGGGTTTAAAAACTAATAGTATAATCCTTTCAGGTCAATGGCTTGGGTCATTAGGGACCAGGGGCAGACTAACCATTTAGCCACTCGGGCACAGCCCGAAGGCCCGGGGTCAATAGGGGGCCCCATGAGATGCTCTTGGTACCTTTTGATGGGCTTTTTTTGGGTGTAGTTTGAGTGTGGGTCAGGACACAGGGGCCCCATGATTTCCTATTGCCTGGGGGCCATGAGTTGTCCGCCCCTGTTAGGGACCCATTTCCACTTGTGTTAATATATGTGTGTTAACATGGATTTCGCCAAGGGTGCCCATTGGGATTTCGCCAAGGGAGCCCATTGGGACCCCAACTGTAATTCTTACCTTTTTCCGTACTCCAGCCATGTGACCAGTTCCACAAAGCCTCTTCTCTAAGGTGTTAACAGGTCATGGTTGCATGCCTGCCTCCTCCGTGACCAATGCACGGTTATTAGCCCAGCATTGTATGTAATGACGTTGAGGGACCATCCATAGCTCTAGGCTTTGGGAAGGAGATTGCTGGAGCAGGTGTTGGGGGTAAGTAAAACATCCTTTTCCTGAACCCCCTACACATGGGCATTTAACACTTGCAGTGTGGGGTGGGCGGCAAAGGTAGATTTTGTCTCATTTCCAAAGTTGGGCAGACATTTCTCCCCTTTCATTCCATGTATTCTGTACCTGCATGGAATGAAGTGCATGTGCTATATAGCAATATATTAATTTGCTGGTTTAAAAAAAAAAAAAAAAAAAAAAAAATTCTCCCTGAGATCTCGGGGGAGAAGGTTGTATTTTTGTTTTGTGTTTTTTATTGCATCAGCATGCGTTGCATATTGCATATACAAAATTAACTTTTTTTTCAAAATGGAGCAGGGTTCCATGCAGCAGAGAGGCAGGAGGAAAACTGGTAAAAATTACATTTGCATGGACATAGGTCCTCTTTAAGGCTGTGCAGGGGAACACCTGCTAAAACCAATTGGTGGTCAGTGGGAAGAATGCCTCCCTTACAGTGGTGGTCCAAATACTACCCTTACAGGCAGCTATAATTTCCATTGGTGGTATCATGCCGCTGGCTTTTCCAAGCAGTGTTGGCAATGGAACTATTCGGGTATCCTCATATGGGAGGTCAATCAGCCACGGCTCGGGTATCCTCATATGGGAGGTCAATCAGCCACGGCTCGGGTATCCTCATATGGGAGGTCAATCAGCCACGGCTCGGGTATCCTCATATGGGAGGTCAATCAGCCACGGCTCGGGTATCCTCATACGGGAGGTCAATCAGTCAGAGCTCAAGGCACCCCTAGCAACCATGGAACGCTGGTTGAGAATGTCGGTCTGCTCTAAATCCTAAGTGGATGACAGTTGGCTTTGCAAAGCACTGTACTGCTATTATCTCCATCTTCCCCAGTCTCCTATGCTTACTGTCTAAATTCAGCATTTGTTCCATATTCTTCCTCTAAACCAGCCATTCACAACGAGAGCTCCCCCAGAGGTAGCTAGTAGTTCCTTGATCTGCGACTGATTGACCTGCCATATGATGGTGCCTGCATAGTGCAAAGCCAGCAGCACGACCCCCTTGGTCTTTTTATTGGTCTGTAAAGGTTGTATTCTTTCTAATTCCCACCAATGTAAGGGACATTGTTCCCATTGACCCTCAATGAAATAGTTTTAGTAAGAGTTCTCAAACACCTGAAAGTTATTTTAGGAGTTCCTTATCTAGGGCAGTGGCAACAAACTGGCAGCCTTCCAGCTGTTGTGTAACTACAAATCCCATCATGCCTCTGCCTTTGGGAGTCATGCTTGTAACTATCAATCTTGCAATGCCACAAGGGACTTGTAGTTTGGCAACAGCTGGAGGGCCACCAGTTTGACACCCATGCTCTAGGGTAATAAGGTTGGGAAAGGCTGCTCTAAACCAACTAACCTAAGTTCCTGATGGTGACAACAGTGGACCAAGCCTGGACCTTCATGTGGTGGATCATGTGTGTTTGATTTTTTTTTTTTTTGGAGTCTCCACCAATGGTGTCTGTGATCGTGATATTGTATGAGAGCAAATGGAAGACAAATGTCCTTTTTATAAAAGGAGGCTCTTAAATAAAGCCCTTCATGGCAGGATGATCAGGTATTTTAATGAGCTCTGCAAAATGATAAAATTTAATAATTTAATAATAAAATAAGATTAAGAACTTTAAAACGTTTTTAATACTTACAAGGTTTTACTGTTTGGGTTTGCAGCTACTTCACTTCACCATTGTCTGTTCCCCACTGGTTGGCAGCATGTGGTTTTGGGGTCCCAGTCACTAAAGGGAGGGGAGGCGTTATCTCATTCTGTAACCAGCCAACAACTATAATGAATAGTTCTTTTCTGGATGAGGATGGAGCATGCATTTCTACTGCCAGAAAGTTCATTAGCTTGCAAAGGGCATATGCAATATGACTTCTCTTCCCAGTGTTTACATGAACATGGAATGTTTTCTAGAGTTCAATTTTAAATGAACATCACAAAATCAAAGTTTAATATAAAGTCCAAACTGGGAGCACTGAACCTTCAGTGTCCTGCTAGTGTATGTTTTATTTCCCTTTCAAAGCCTTATTCACGCAGGGTGCTTTGTAACTATCCTCATCCCTGCCAAGATCCAAGGTACGGTGTGCAGTGGTGGATGTAACGGGGGCAGAATAGGTGACTGTCCAGATGGGGGATTTATCCCACTGGCACAATAAGTGAGCAATTGCTGAATCCTTCATATTACAAAGAAAGCACCTCAGTGTATAAAGTTGGTCTCAAGCAAAAACTTATTTTTTTATTAGAGTTTGGAAAGAGTTAGAACCCCTGTCGGGTTTTGTTGCTGTGGTTGAGGGAGTGGATGAATGCGGTGCGATCCTGAGTTTTTTTGGGGTGTAGATCTGAAGAATCTTGAGGCTGAACTCCAGGACGCCAAAGGCCAGTTCACACTACATGTGTTTCAGTTGCGTTTTTTTTTTTTTTTTTCTGCATCCAAATTGCGCAGAAAGTAGTAGGTTATATGGTTGTCAATGTCCTAGTTCACATCAGTGCTTGCAGTTTCAGTGCGTTCCGGATGCAGAAAAAAAGTGGAACAGGCTGCATTTTTCCTGCACAGAACTGTCTTGGAACGCTGTAAACGCATCAAAAAATGCACTGGAACGCACCTGTCCCGATTAACCACTTGCCAACCGCTCTATAGCCACATGATGGTTACGTGCTGTTGGCCAGTCCTGGGAGGGCGTCATATGAAGTCATCCCAGGCGAGCACCCGGCGATCTCCGTGATTGCTGTGTCCTAAGGACACAGCTGATCACGTGATGAGGTAAAAGCCCAATCACAGCAGCCTTTTACCATGTGATCAGCTGTGTCCATTGCTGCAGCAGGTCACCGAGTAAATACAGTTGCTGGTTATTGGTTGCACTTTCCTCACACTGCCACAGCGTGAGGAAAGTACTGACGATAACCGGCAGCTGTCACAGAGCCGATCGGCATTTATGATCAGTGCTGCCCTGTCGGTGCCAATCACTGCTTCATATCAGTGCACCATCATCAGTACCTCCTCATCAATGTCCACCAGTGTCGCCTAATCAGTGCCACTCAATCAGTTCAGCCTATCAGTGCCCATCATTGCTGCCTATTCATGCCACCTCATCAGTGCAGCCCTCATCAATGCACGTCAGTGAAGGAGAAAAATTACCTGTTTTGCAAAATTTTATAATAGAAACAAAGGAAAATGATTAAATACCACCCAAAAAAACTATTTGTGTGAAAGAAATGATAAAAATGTCATATGGGTACAATGTTGCATGACCGCGCACCGTGAGAGCGCTGAAAGCTGAAAATTGGCCTGGGCACGAAGGGGGTAAATGTGCCTGATAGGCAAGTGGTTAAATTGGAGGGGGGGGGGGGGGGGAACTGCCCTGGAACGTGCCAAAAATGTGCATGCAGAAACACATCTGGACTTTGTTTCTGTAGTGTGAACCATCCGTAAAAGTTATCTCTTGCATTAGCACTGAGCCTCCACTTGCAGGGGCTATCTGCGCTTTTAGATCAATGGGGCATAGAAAAAATGTACTTACCTGATCCTCTGCTGTTAGAATGGTGGTGGAGAGCATGGCATCACCTTCCTGCCTCTCTACCTCATCCAATCAGAGAACTCTTTGCATTCATTCATAACATTCTCTGAATGGTGCCCGTGCCAAGAGGCTAACCACCTGAGTTCAATATTCTGCAGGCCAGCTACTCAGAACAAGACCTGGAAGCAAGTGGAGATCACTGGAATATTGGTATCTACTTCAGTGATTTCCAGCTTCCAAGGACATCAGCCAGGTATGGTATATACATAGTCCCATTGGTCCAAGTTAGATCAATGTAACTATGTATAAATTATCCATCCCTGGAATTCTTTATTTCTGTATTGTTGACCAAAGGGGGTGAATTTTTTTTCCCTCCGAAACGCGTTGGACCAAGCTTGTATTTGGACTTGAGTTTCATAATGGGTCCTTCAATTTTATAAGTCACTTGGGTTTTTTTATCGTAGGGTGGGGGGGGGGGGGGGGGGGGGGGGGGGGGGTGGGGGGACTGTCCAATGGGGACACCTATTCCTTTGACAATGCAAGAGGGGATTTCACTTTTCATGCTTCCTGTTGTCTCTGGGAAAAGGGAAATCTCCCCAACCAGTTTGATGGCAAAAAAGCCTGACTCTTACCTAAGCTGAGGATAAAAGAATCTTGGTTTTTAGATGCACTTTGTAGGCCTGTTGACCTTCACTACTTCCACCAGTGGAAAGCCTGGAGTTGCACTATTTCTGGATCTGCTTCTTTACAGCGCCCAGAGCCAAAACCTGCTTTTCTATGTGTACTGGTTTATTACCTTTTTGCTAGTTCATTGGTGTCCGGTGGTAAGAATCTCCCCCTTTACAGTGGTGATCAGAATACCACCATTGGAGACAGATAAAACTTATCATTGGTGCTGTTTTTAAAGCGCTACTGGACCCAGAACTATGAAGGAACCATCAAATGGAAGGTCAATCGGCCACAGGAACTCCTAGCAACCTCTGGAGGAACCCTAGGGTGCCACTGAGACTGGCTGCTGTAAAGTGTCTTGCCTGAATTCTCCCTGACCTTTGTGAGCTGTCTAAATGGCTACCACACTAGTGAGTGAAGCCGTGATAGCTTTTCTATCATACAAAAGGTGCAGATTGTGCCAACCC